CTATGTTATGCAGAAAAATAAACTGAACAACTTTTGCCTCAGGGTCACATCGAAATTCTTCACCAAATTCAAAATAAAAAATAAAATTCAAAAATATTTTATTTATTTTTATTTATTTTAATTATTTTGGCCCGGTCGGGCAAGTGACCCCGGGCCACTCTGGTAGCCTAGCCCATAGTGCATTTATAACTTATTTTTGTGACTCTACTGAAGTTACCCCATTATTATAATAATCATATAAACTAGCAGACTCTGTTTACCAATAAATTTTATAAATTATGAACTAAATGAGTTAAAACACTAAATCCGAAGAAACTAATGGGAAACCATTTCATCGGTGAGAACAACCATAACCGTGAAAAAATGATGATAAACACTCAACCCATTAAAACTGATGGGAAACTTTTTCAACAGTGAGAACCGTCATAATCGAGAAAACATTAATGATGAAATATGAACATCAAATAGCTGAGAGAAATTCACTCATAATATGAAATAAAAAATTCACTTAGGAATATTTTTTGTTTTTTTTTTGCTATTTTGCGCTCTCTCTTAGAACCCCGAAACCGGGTTCATTTTGTTTTTGAATAGTCGGTTGTCAAGGGAAGTAAGCGGGGTATAAATTGATTTTAAAGAGCCTAAAGGGATTTTAAGGGGGGTGCCTTAGTGTGATTCTGTGATTTTCTTATTTATCTTCGATTCTTAGAGGAATTATGATGTGACCCTCAACCAAAAGTCGTTTGTATTGTAATTCAACATAATATTTTTTTTTCGTTAATTTTTTTATTTGGTTGCCCGGTGTCGAGCGCATCGGCCCCCGTGCGAGCGAGGGCGCACTCGGTCGGAGCGGCGAAGGACACAAGCGGTTATCGGGTAGCCAAAAATTCAGGAATGAAAATTCTGAAGTGAGAGTTTTTGGCAGTCTGAAAATCATGAATGGTCCTGAAGTGGTGAAAAGTCCGAAGATCCTGAAAACCACCTGTTTAGGCAGGCTGCATCCTGAAGTGGTGAAGGGTGTCCTGAAGTGGTCAAGTGAGAGTTTTGGGCAGTCTGAAAATTTTGAATGGTCCTGGAGTGGTGAAAGG